GCCGGCGCCGCCGCCGTGAGCGTGCGCGTGCGCGTGGGCGTGCGCGTGGGCGTGCGGGTGCGCGTGCGACGGCTCGGGCCGCGAGTTGTAGTAGAGGTCGGCCAGCCCCAGGCCGTTGGCCGTGGCGTCGCCGTTGCTGTCCAGGCCCAGGTCCTGCGTCGACCCCAGGCCCGTCAGGCCCAGGCCCAGGCGGGACCTGCGTACAACACCCGCCACTCAGGCTATACTCCGGTTTAAACAGAGGGGCACTTAAATGTCACGCGCTGAACGGCGCGGGGGACTCTGACATCTAATCAGGCGATTCTTTACAGTTTAAATTTTTGGTATTGGAGCTCCCGATGGGTTGACTATGTCCCCCCTCTCCTCCCAGATCGTCACCTTGAAGTGCCACTCTGTTTAAATCAGAGTATATAAGTATAGATTGGAATAGTATAGCAGTTACAAAACAGTTTTTGCTCAAGGTATAGTTTTTCAAATCCAAATTTTACCGAGCAAAACTGGCTCTGGAAAAGAGATGAAATAAAGACATTAGTAATTCTGTAGGATGCGTTTTGTTTTTTAATGTGTGTAAATTGTAAAACCTATGTTAAGTAAGAAACAGTAGCAACCTCTAGTGCTTAGTGGCTTTTACTGTGAGACTATGTCTGATAATCAAAATATGTTTCGTACTAAGTGTAAATTGTATGATTGTGTTCTGCTTTAAGTCGACGAGAAGGTGTGTAAAAGAAGTGTTGCTCTTGTAAGAATATAAATAATTATGTTTAAGTTCAAAGGTTCTTTACAAAGAAACGACAAACAGTTGAAATTACATTGGTTATTTACTGCAATTTACGGTTTAATTTGAGCTATTGTAATAATCTCCAGGATAAACTGAATATGAACATGGTCAGGGTGAAGAAATACTATTAATGCTGTTAATACAAGCGGCAGTATTGCATTGGTATAAGAGGAGAGATACCACGACATTTGCCCCAATTCATTCCTCAAGATACAGAGCAAAACAAATAGTTTTTACCAATCCCACCATAATTGAAAAATCTGTTTAGTATTTATTTAATTTATTTACGGAAAAGAAAAATAATGAATAAAAATACAAAACAAATTTTACAATGGTACAGTATTTTACAGTGGTTTTGTAAAAATAACCCAACTTTTTTACACGACAGCGCTAACCGAAAGAGGAATGGTTGCATGTTGATCTTGAATGTCCCATCGGTCAATATTACTTGACTGTTTATGATCTGGTTAAGTCAGAATTAATCATTATTGCTCATGCAGTAAACCATGCTGTTATGAACTATTTAAATTTCTATATTGCAAAATAATCAAACCTCTTAGAATTACCAAGGGGGACCTCAGGGACCGTGCGCAACAGAGCCCAATATAATAAGTTTCGTCGTTGAATGCAAATACTGATGTGCGAAAGTCATCTGTTTTTCATTTTCAGAGCCAGAAAGTGAATATTTTTTAATGAATGCACAAGCATATTATTTGTGATATTCATTTATTACTTTATAAAAATTTTGAAACATCAATAAAAAATTTAACGAATGGGCTCCACAGCCCCCCTCTCCAGTACCTTGGAGTATATAATCTGGCATTGCTAGGTAGATTAATGTTTTTGGTTACGCCATTTGAAATGGCCATTAGTCTCGTTAGTGTAAAAATGAGCTTATCTCGGGAGGTGGTGATGGTTCATTCCCCGCTGGGTAGTAAAATCCGGCGCCGACCTTCACGTCAGCTTGTGGGGGATTTCTCCCAAGTGTCTCCCCCTACCGGAGCACCGTTCCAGCTATCTCTAAACTCCCAAGTGGCCTTCGGACACGTTTGGTAGTAATAGTATAAGTATGTGTGTAAGGTAGAGGGTAGAGCAGTGAAGAGGAATGAAATATCACGCGCGTTTTGTTAGAATTCTGCTTCGACAGTCACGTGGTATTGACAGGAGAAAGCACAGGGAACTACCGCCAGAACATCCGGCCGCTATAATTCTGTCTCAGACAGCAGCTGAATTAGAGTTAGTGGCTGTCGAAAATTCTACCACCACCGGGACTCGAACTACAGGACCATGGGATGAGAGTCGCTGCAGAGCCAGCTCGTCCGGGGGGATCGCTAGGGCTGAAGGCGGACGTTGTCCTGTGCTCACCTGGAGGAAGACATCTCCCGTCCGTCGCCGCCGCGGCGCCGCGCCGCCGCCACCAGCGCCGCCTCCTCCGCCTCCTCGGCGTCCTCTTCCTCGCGCAGCTCCTTCTTGATCACCACCACCGGCGGCGGCTTGTGCTCCGCGCGCGGCGGCAGATGCGGCGACATCACGCCGCCCTTGCCTGCGCACGCACGCGCGACCAGCGCACCCCGCGTCACTCACGCGGCTCTCGCGCGACACTCGCGCTCCGCACGCGCAGAGCGCGTTCCACGCGACACTCACGCATCATTCACGCTCAACTCACGCAGAGGGCGCACAACGCGTCATGAACGCTCCGTTCAAACAGAGCACGCACCACGCGTCACTCACGCTCCGCTCACAAAGAGCGCGCTCCACGCATCACTGACGCAGAGTACGCACCACGCGTCACTTACGCATCACTCACGCCGAACGTGCTTCATGCGTCAGTCACGCATCTCTGACACAGAGTACGCACCACTCATGACTCACGGATCAATCACGTATCGCTCTCGCCGAGCGCGCTTCACGCGTCACTCACACATCACTAACACTTAACTCACGCAGAGGGCGCACCACGCGTCACTCACGTCACGTCATGAACGCATCACCCACGCTCCGTTCATGCAGATTACGCACCACACATCACTCACGCTCCGCTCACACACAGCGCGCTCCACGCGTAGCTCACGCATCTCTGACACAGAGCACACTGCACACGTCACTCACGCATCACTGACGCTCAACTCACGCAGAGGGCGTACCACGCGGCATGAACGCTCCGTTCAAACAGAGCACGTAAGCACGCACCACTCGTCACTCACGCTCCGCTCACACAGAGCACGCTCCACACGTCACTCACGCATCCCTGACGCAGAGTACGCACCACGCGTCACTCACGCATCACTGACGCTCGACTCACGGAGAGGGCGCACTACGCGTCACTCACGCATGAAGATCCGCGCATGGAGCTGACAACCGAACCCATGGAGGTAGTATTGTCACTCGTAATTCAACATGAAATTTTTTTCAGAAGTATTCATATTTTTGTTAAAAACGAAGCAAAATTATGCAGGTTTTGAAAACGTCCGACTTTAGGTGCGAGTTTTTAAATTTGTTCAAATACAATAAAGCAACATTATGAAAGTATTGTGTATGTTATTTCTTTGTATAAAAGCTTTATAAATTTAAAAGAGAATCAAGGTTAATTTTTATAATCACTTTATTGTGGCGTCGCGAATATTTGCCATCTGTGCGAAGGAATGGTGGTCAGCTGTTCGGTTACCTCTACCTCCCCACTGCTGAATGTGTGATGACGCAATTATTCGTGCTATAAACGGCAAGTACGTCCTAATATGTACCATAAGATGTCATTTTAGGATCAATATCTTCTAATGCAAAACGCCATTTATAATGCTGGAATGATTTATATATAGTTTGGTTGTCCCTAGTCAGTCATTCCGAAACTAAGATTAATGTTTTTATAAGAGTTATTAGAAAACTATTGTTCTAATAATCCATAAGTCCCTGTGATTAATTGTATTACATTTCATATTATTATAAGGACAGTGTCTAATTGGAATCACATTTGTATTAGGGATTTCAAAGTATCTAAAAGTTCAATTTTTAGCACTAGCGCTAAAAGTGAAAAGTTGTTCAAATGTTCAGATGAAACAGAGTGACTGTAACAAGAAAAAAACTTTCGTCTGAACGCAGCATTTACTACTGACCTAAATGTAACATAGTAACATACACAAGTAAATGATTTGCATCTTTGAATTAAAATAAAAAGAAAGGGAATAAGACTCTAAAAATGAATGAATCATACATAAAAATGAATCAATCGGGATCTTGGAGATGCTCCCTTGCACCGACTGTAACACCACTGTTCAAACTAACTTAAATCGTGATAACCTGCCATTGTTACAGAAGTAATCGAACTAACAATTGTGCCAGACTCTGGTTGTCTTATATAGTCGTTGCCGACCGAAGCGCTGTATTCTGATTGGTTCCAGATCTCATTATTTCAATACGCATGGTTGTACCAGTTTGTTTGGCTCTTCAGTGTAAATACGCAGCACAGAAATTGTGTATACAATTGAACGACAGTCAATAAAAGGAACAAGTTGATCTTAATCATTAGAGAAGTATAAGAGAGATACAAAAGAACTTCACTAATAAATAGAATTGAAGCACATGCATCATACATAAAAATGAATCAATCGGAATCTTGAGATGCTCCCCTTTGCACCGGACTGTTACCACCACTGTTTCAAAACTAACTTAAATCGTGATACTGCATTGTTAAAGAAGTAATCAACTAACAATTGTGCCAGACTCTGGTTGTTCTATATAGTCGTTGCCGACCGAAGGCTGTATTCTGATTGGTTCCCAGATCTCATTATTTCAATTACGATGGCTGTACCAGTGTTTGGTCTTGGCGTCTGTGTAGTTACGCAGCCACGGATTGTGTGATTACTTGAACGACGACAGTCGCATAAGAAAAAGGAGGACTGAAATTATGCTAGGAATGTCATAGTTATTTCGGTGTGAAAGATCTTTAATCCTTCATTGTACCGTAAGTAAATCATTTGCATTGTAAGGAAAACGTAAAGTAAAAGTAACGTAACATAAAACAACAAAATGAGATGAAAACTAAAATTTTCGTAAATATTAAGAAAACGTCTACATGCTACTATTTCAAAAATCATTATTATTTATGACATACATTACATACATCAATTATGAGGTTTCAAGTTAAGGATAATTAGCTTGCAAACTTTAAATTTTTCGTTTTCAAATTACCTAAGTACAAAAAAAATCTTGTGTGTTGCTAAATTGAACAAACAAATTATTCAATGAAATCATTTGTGAAATGATTTTTATAATATTGTTTCAAAGATTGTCTTAGAATGAACGATGTGTGTATATTAGTGAATGAGTACGTTTGATATTTTGGAGCTTATAGTTTTATTACAACGTATTATAAAAGATCACATAGTTTTATTTTCATTGATTGATTCATTTCGTGTTTCGAGACACGTCAAACGGCAAAGGTCATTTATACCATGATTGTAAGGTATGTTTTTTTAACGTTAGGTGGTGGTGTTTTTCCCTGTCGGAGTGGTAAGATGCTGGCTTGAACCTACACGTGGACTTATATCGTGACAGTAGCTGCATACAATCTAGCTATCTAGCTTAGCTTTCGAAAATCTGGTCACTGTCGGGAAGCGAGCCCCAGAACAGTTAAGGCAGTGCAATGACATCAGTTGATGCTTTGAGCTACCTGAGCCGGTTGGTAATTTTATTTGATTGCAGTTTGTTTTAATGCAATGTGTTTAATTAGTTATTGAACGTAAACTATTTAATAACTAATTAAATATTCTTTTGTCTATTAGAATTCTTTTTTGTGAGACTCTTTTTACTAGATTTATTAATGTATAATTGCATCAGAAAATATTGGGCCTCATCTGGCAACGACGGCAAAACTTTCGTCACATGTCAGCTTGGAAAATATTAGTACCCATGGCTACATTGTTTACCTGCGGGCGACGTGCAAATTAACAGACCTGTTTTGCAGGGAGTACAGATATGAGGGATTGAAGGTACATGGGTATTTGCTGTGATGCGAGAGCTAACATTCTGAAATGACAGTCAGTCTCATCTATTAGTTATATTTTCCTCGTACGTAGGAGAATGTCCCCGCTACTGTTGACATAACCTCGTGGAAACATTTCAAAGAAATCACGCAACAGTAGTATATTTCATCTATGGAAATATACTTTACTGAGGTGAAATAACTTGTTTTATAAACAGAATTCCTTTCAGTGTATGAAATACGTTTGTCCAACGCGTGACATGCGGTGCGTTATAAAAAGAGTACAACTGCAATTGAGTATGAAAACTTCTAGTATACACTTCAAAGAAAACATTGTGCTCGAATTGCTCATTAGTGCTATATCCGTAATTACAAGATTTGTGAAATGTATTAATTATTTTTTACCCTGAAAATATACTTGCATATGTGCAATGTTATTTACAGCCGTCTGTAGGTGGGAATAAGGAAAAACAATGCAGAGTACTGTTGACATTAATAAAATTGTGCAGACATTTTCATTCGTTTGGATGATTATGAGATGAAATACCTTTCATTTGCAAATTTTTATTCGGAATGCATTGTTTACTTGTTCACATACGAGAATATGAAATAAATACTTATAGATTAAACTGCGTCTAAATGATTTTAAATTAAATTATAATTAGGTTCAATGAGAATTTATGTGGTATGTTTATAGTTTAACACGTAACACGTTTAATAAATCCTCTAAGAAGCACGAAGTTAACGTTTGGCTAATGTAAAGAGGGAGTTAAAGTAAAAACAATTCTGTACATTTTCCCCAGTAGTTTTCATTGTAATGGAAATACATTATCAAATCACTATAGAACGGAATACATTAGCTCTGCAGTTGCGAGGGTGCAATTCAAGGTTTGTAGACCGTAACGTTCTACTACGTTCGAGTACCAATAGTGACAGATTTCGCACTCGACCACATAGGTGGTGGGGCGCCATGGTTGTCTGGACGAAAATCGTAGAGATCGGCTGCTCTCATTTTTATGTCTTTTTTCGTGTTTTGCTTTGACCCAATCCAGGCGGATGTCGGAAAAATCATATAAGAGCTATAGACAGAATGGGATCCTGTCATTCTCACAATGCTCTGACTTCTTTCAGAATCAGATCGTGGTTGATACTCAAACCATATAACAATCGCTCATGGCGGGGAGAGTCCGCCAGAGGTCGGCGGTCATCAGAGCAATGAAGGAAATACGGGATAAATAGAAACGAGTGATAGTAATTAACAATTTAAGTGGAGAGAAAAAATAATTTATTCAATGCAGGGAAACTTACACAATTTTTCACATAGTTTCAGCAAAATTTAATCCTTGTCCTACCCATTCTGTGGCTTTCTTATTCCCAAAGTGCAAAAGTTTTTACATGACTATTTCACCATTTGTGTATCACTTTTTTTACAGCTTCAATGATGAACTTATTGCATCGTAAAAAGTACTCGAACGATATGAAACAAATTGAAAATTGGAGAGAGCGATGTCTGATCTGTAGAGGATACAGCACTATCTCTCACTAACTTGTCGAGGCGTT